AATTTCCGCATCATCAATAGCAAAAAAGAGTATGCCCCACATAATGACCATCAAATTAACATTTATGACCAATTTCAGAAAAATCATAGTATTTTGGTAGCATGTGCACAACAAGCACCACAACAAGACACCGTCCATCCAACAGACTCAATGTTAGTGACAGGTGTTCATTTTTCATGTCTTAATGATTCACAGCTAAAAGCCTGTTTTTTTATATACGATCTTGAAACGGAAACATTGCATAAGAAAAATTTGGAAGGAAAATTGACTGATCTTTTTATTCATTGCAGGTATTTCGTTTCGCTGACACTTTTATCCTCTAATATTTAGTATAAATTAACCGATAAACTAACATCTTTATAACAGCATCATTTCGATCACTCAAGAGAATTATTTAAGATTGAACCGAGAAAAAAGACTTTTGAATGGTTTTAATAATAAATCTACTGCTCTTTATAATGCACATAAGAAACCTCTATGGACATGTCATGAGCCAACATTCGTTAGCCTTTTTCATGAAAATTGTCCAGATTGTAGCGCAGGATTTGCGAATCTTGCACCTGATTATTTGATCTTCAATTCTTTAGGTTTAGGCAGTGTCCATGAATGTCTTCAAATTTCTTACTTCAGCGCACCTCTCTCTCAAACATAATTTTATTCATTCGAATGATAATGTGTTGCTGAATTTTCATACCATCTACTAGATTTTGTTTAACTAATCTAATTTATTGTAGACACATATATTCAATTTAAAACAAGATATATGATTCGTATTAGAAATCATAATTGGTTATTAAGAAAATGAATATTGAGTTAATAAATATAGAACAATAAATTATATATTGTCAGGTTACCTTGTATTTTGACTTTAATTTGGATTTCAAAGTACTTCACTCAAAAAGGGCCGAAGACAGATTTAATTAATTTAAATTTGAATAAACCGATCAAGTGAGTTACTGTATTATTTTGATGGAAAAAATGTGAGGCAATGTTTTTAAATGTCTCCTTCAATATATGATCTTGCACAATCCTTATCGCCACAATTTTTTACTATTATTGATATTAAAAATTTTTTAGCAAATAAATATTAGAAAACTGTAAATATTAGAAGACTATAATTATTTTCAGCAACCTAATATATTACCCTAATAAATTATATAATTATATATAGGAAATTTCTAAATATGTAAGTAAGCTGTAGAGACAGCAGGGTTGATATTTTATGGTCATTGTGAAGTAGTTATTGACGATTATACTATTTTTTTACATTTGTGTAGGATAGTAAACTACATACTTTGCAGAAACCTCTAAATATATTTATCATATAATAATTATACAATAATCATATAATAATTATATATTTATAATACTGTCAACTATCGATATAACGGAAATCCGGGCTGGCCAAAAAAATCCGTTATATAGCATGTTCGTTATAC